ACATTCTAGAAATAATATTAATATCTTAATTTTTAAACTATTTTTATCTTTTTCTTCCTTTTAGTTTTCTTTATTTACATTGTTCTGTATGATTTATACATTCAAAAAATTTTGAATTCGATATCTGATTAATTTTTTTTTTTATAAAATAAAAATACAAAGATATGTAAAATTTATTGCAACATATAAAAATAATACATATATAAATATATATATATGTAGACTAATATGCTTATTAGAATTTTATGATTTAAAAATTAGTACCCATAAATACCCCGTAAAAATTATATGAATTAAAGTTCGATTTTATTTATACTATATATATTTAGATACATGTGAAATAAGAATCTCTAATATACACATAAGGAAGATATATATAGAATATGTAAATATAAAAAATTTAATTTAAAAAATATTTATTTTTATGATATATTATGTTTTATATTGAATATTTGATTATATTTAGTATAACTTTAGTCTAATAACTATAATCAAATAATTATAATTTTAATATTTTATTATTAAGAATAAAAATTTGCCGAATGTACTATTTTTGATAAAATACAATTTATTTTAGATCATTACAATGTTATATTTTACATAGACGAAAACATATAAAATATTATATAAGGAAAAATAAAAAAAAATTGAGCAATTGTCAGTATATATTTCTAAATATTAATACTGAAAAGAAAAAATAAACAGAATATAAGGAACATAAATGTAATATATATGTTAAATAATTAAATAATAACTAAAATGAAAAATGAAAACTATTATCATATTAACTATAATCAATTAACTATTTATCATATAGGATATTTAAATTAAAATTAATTTTATTATTATTATCTTGTGATCATAAACTTAAAAGACTATTTAAATATTTGTAATAAAATTTTAATAACTATAAAGTTATAGATAATAAATTAAAATAGATAATAAAAAAAGAAAGTTAAAATAAGAATATATTTAATTATGATACTTAAATTTAAATTAAGTTTAAAAATTTTGAAAAGGATTTATTTTCAAGTATTTTATCACATTATTAAAATATTTAAACTTTTATGAATCATATATATAAAAATTAATAATACTATTTGTGATAATAAATAATTTTTATCATAATTTTTATCAAATTTTTATCATAATAATAAAATAATAATACTAAAATACATAATTAAATTTTAAATAAGTAATATGTAATATATGTATATCTGTGTATAAAAATATTTCACTAATAATAATTTTAACTAATAAATATTCTTATAATTATGTGTAAAATATGATTTTGTAAAATTTTTTTTTGTCATATTTAATAACATATATAAAAATACTAACACGAAAATATTTTTAAGAAATAAAAGAAGGAATATAAAAAGTTTTTTTTTTAATAAATATGCAAAAGAGTAAATATTATACATTAATATTATAATGTATTTAAAATATCTTATATAATATATGTGTATGTAAAAAAATTATATACAGCATAATTTTTTTTATTTTATAAAAAATACATATAATAATATTTTTTCATATTTCTTATTTGTTTTTTTCATATTCATTTTTTTAATTCGATCTAATTATAATTACAATATATACATACGTATATGTATATATATTGTATTTATGTTACAGTTAACAAATTATTTCAAATATAAATTATTGAGTTATAAAAATTGTATTTAAATTGTATTATTTATAATATTGTTACAAAAACCAATATAATGTTTAATAAGTACATAGTGACATATTTTATATGTAAAAAAAAATATAAAAATAATTTTACCAGATTATGTGCAAAGATTCAAATCATTAATAATAAATGATTAAATTATAATAAATATAGAAAATAATTATTCGGAATAAAAGGTCCATCGATTTTTATCATTTTTAAATATGTTATGGTGGACAAGATTTAAAACAACATTTTTTTTGTATATTATATTATCGTTTGGTTTTAAATATTTGCAAAAAAAATTGCTACTATTCATAAAATTTTTTTAAATATAGTTTCATGACTACGTAAATCTGTTAACTACCTATTACTTATTTATTATTTCTATAAATATGTTATAGTGAATGGCGTTCAAAATGTATAAAAAAAAAGATACTCTATTATGAATTATGAATTATGGAACCAAAATATCTTAAATCCAATGCTATATTATTATATAATTAATACATACAGATTCTTCAAATCCATGGAAAACAAAAATAAATATAAAATAATATAAAATATAATGTAATATAATAAAAAATATAAAATATAAAATTCTTAGATGATTAACGTTATAATGATTAATTAAATATAATGATTAATAAAAGTTATATTGATATTCATTGTAATTTTTTGAGATTTGAGATATTTTAAATTTACAATTCCGTATATATATATCTTACTTATCTGTTGTCATTATGTGTTTACATTAATAAGAATAAGGCGATCACATGTTTATGCGCATAGATATATATGTATAAAAAAAATTCTATGAAATTAGTAACAATCTTTTTTTTTTTTACAAATATCTTAAAAACTAAATGGTGATAATATTCAAAGAAAAAAGTTGTTCAAAATGTTGATAATTCAAAAATCATCGAAATCGATGAAGATTTATAATCAATATCAATAAAAAAAATTGAGTATTTAATATATAAGTAATTAAAATTTTCAATGCACATATTCAACACTAAAACAATGCTTTCATACATTTCGAGTATATATTTCATAGTTTACAAAAATATTTATTAGACGGATCTATCATGCCTATAATGCATTCACTCTATCAAAATTCTCAATTTTTACAGTTTTATTATTAATTATGACATTAATATAATATTTTAATAATTATAGACTTATTATTAAATGAAAAAATTATTTTAAAACTATTAAAATTATTAAAACTTAAAATAAAAATTATTTTAAGAGAATAGAACAAGATATATGAAAGAGGTAGAATAGAACAAGATAAAAACTACTTACGAAAAAGAAATATATTTAGATATAAACTTACTAAATAATTTATGATTGAATGTCATATTATTAATTTGTAATATATATATAAAATATTTTATATGGTATTTTATTTTATATGGTACGGAAAAATGATCATATATATGATCATAATAAACTTATTATTTAGATTTAATCAAATAAAGTGCAATGTATAATAATTTTTATGAATGATAGTAAGTTACATTTTTTGTTTTTTAATTAAAATATTTATAACTATATGTTTTTTTTTCTTACGAAAAAATTCTTAAAAATTATGAACTTTAAAAATCCATCTAATATAGAATATTTCTTTATAATT